TAGCTACATATTTTTAAAATAGATAAATCTATAAATAGGAATAAAATATAAAATAAAAACATAGATTAAAATTAATATATATATAAAATAAAAAAATTTAAAATATTAAATATTGAAATTATTGATATTTTATATATATATAAAAAAACCAAATGGTGTTCTACAGGACTTTCCAAAAGCAGCTTACCATCCTGGTTACCCCACTCCCAGTCAGGCCCACGGACCACTTTAGCCCCCTGGAAAGTCCCTTTTAACGTGATGCGAGTCAGATTCTGGCGAGGGCTCACGAGGACCCTGCAAAAACAAAATCAGAGGAACAAATGAATTTGTTGTTACAGAAGTGCCAAAGCTCTGCTCCAGCTGAGGGCTGTCCCACTAGGACCACCCTTGACTTTAGGGTGAGGGACATTTCTGGGGGGACCATGCAGGGAGGCATTGATGGAGCTCAGCAGGTTCTGCAATCAGAGAATCTGAATCAGATTCAGAGAATCAGAGAATCTGAATGTGATCCAGAGAATCAGAGAATCTGAATGTGATCCAGAGAATCAGAGAATCTGAATGTGATCCAGAGAATCAGAGAACCAGAATCTGATTCAGAGAATCAGAGCAGTTCAGAGCACTGCGCAGGGCTGTGGCATTCATGGAGCTCAGCATGTTCTGCAATCAGAGAATCAGAGAATTTGAGCAGATGGAGCTCAGCAGGTTGGGAGGCATTGATGGCGCAATGAGATTCAGAGAATCAGAGAATCTGAATGTGATCCAGAGAATCAGAGAATCTGAATGTGATCCAGAGAATCAGAGAATCTGAATGTGATCCAGAGAATCAGAGAACCAGAATCTGATTCAGAGAATCAGAGCAGTTCAGAGCACTGCGCAGGGCTGTGGCATTCATGGAGCTCAGCATGTTCTGCAATCAGAGAATCAGAGAATTTGAGCATGAATTAGAGAATCAGAAAATCTGAATCTGACTCAGAGAATCAGGGAATCTGAATCTGATTCAGAGAACCAGAGAATCTGAATCTGATTCAGAGAATCAGAGCAGCAGGGCTGTGGAATTCATGGAGCTCAGCATGTTCTGCAATCAGGGAAACAGAGAATCTGAATCAGAGACTCTGAATCTGATTCAGAAAATCAGAGAATCAGAGAATCTGAATCTGATTCAGAGAATCAGAGCAGCTCAGACCAGCAGGGCTGTGGCATTCCTGGAGCTCAGCAAGTTCTGCAAGCAGAAAATCAGAGAATCTGAATATGAATCAGAGAATCAGAGAATCTGAATCTGCGAATCAGAGAATCTGAATTTGATTCAGAGAATCAGAGAATCTGAATCAGAATCAGAGAATCAGGGAATCTGACTCTGATCCAGAGAATGAGAGCAGCTCAGAGCAGCAGGGCTGTGCCTGGAGCATCCCAGGCTCTCCCAGACCTGCCCTGCACCCCACAGCCCCAGCAGAGACCCCCCAGCTGCAGGGAAAAGCAGCAAGGTACCTACGTGATGGTGAACAGGGGGTCTGATGTCCTGTTAAAGCAGCTCCCAATTCCCATAATGTCACAGCAGCCTCTCTGCTGACCCCAGGCTGCCACAAAGCCTTCTCATCAGTCACCAAAAAATCCACGGGGACCTGCCTGGCTGCTCAGCCAGGCTGCAATCCCTTTTCTAGGTGCCCCAATCCATGCCCCTGCAGCCAGACAGGCTCTTGGCAAGTCCCAGCCCAGACAGGGCAGCCCAAGTTCAGCAGCTGCTGCTCAGGGCGAGGGGAGGGGAAGCTTCCTGGGGGTAGGGCTGACCTCAGAGCACTGCATTTCTTTTCCATCTAATACCTCCAGAGGAAAGGTGGAGACTCAGGAGGATGAAAAGCTTATGCTTGAACTTAGTGTTTACTTATCCAGCAAATGCTTAAGTCTTTTACTTTTCTTAACCTGTTAGCAGATCTGCCACCTGTGGTTTACAACCCTGTGTGTTTCAAAAGAGGAAGGAGGGACTATTTATGCCTTGCTCTTATAATGACTAATAATTAATATTCATTAATTACCCAGGCTGGAGCTCAGCAGGAGGAAAATGAAGGCTCTGTACTTGGAGGGTTGAGATTTTGACTGGTTTAAGCACCATCAAGGCTGGATATTGTTAAGAAAGAAGACAATGACAGTGGAGGGAAAAGCTCAGCTACAAAGAGCCACTGCTCAACGTTCATTTTATTGCACTATCGGGCACTGATAAAACCAGCATGGATTTGGGTACAGCCTCTGAAACATCCTAGATGTTTTCACTGCATTTTGTTCAATGTTTTTCTAATAATTTATCAAAGATGTCTGAGCCGAGCCCTGAGACAAAGTGATAAAAATAAAATTCTGTCTTCCAAAGCCTTCTCTCACAAGGGATGGGATTCAATGCAAAGATTCTTACTGATAGTAAAATAAAGCACCAAGCTGAGCTTAAGATGTTTAAATAGCAAAATATCCACCCCTCATTCTATTCTTAGCAGAAGTTCCCTTTTTGGATCATCATGTAACAGTAGTCATTCCCCAGCTCAACACTCTCACATTAACCTGCCACCTCCTCTGAAATTTGTGGATGGAGACCAAAAAAACAAAGCTGATCCATTTAGAAAGCTGAGTTTCCTCAAAGAAGGAAATTGTAAGAAGCTCCATCTCCTGTCCTGCTGAAATTCTGGGGCCACCCAGCAGAAGTGCCCTCCTTGCCCAGCCTCACCAAAATTCTGACCCTGCCTTAAACCACCCATCACCGAGGAGTGATGCAAGCACCACATCTCCTGAGCCAAAGATTCTTATCAAGGTTTTCATCTAATTCAATGTTTTGCTCCAAATATTGGCTAACAACCAAAGTTACCCAGTGTGATGCAAAAATACCCCTGAGATAAATTTAATCCCTGCGGTACTGCCTTTAATAACAAATTTAATTATGACAGCACAAGTCTGCAGCCATTTCTGCCCTACAAATTCCAAGGATATTAAATTACTGCAGAGCCCAGAAATGTACAGAATGAAGTTATGGCTCTCTCCAGCATGGAGAACCACTCCCTGGGGATGTTCTGCCTGCTCAAGCTTCTCTGAGGTGCTGATTTGGGTTTTGACATCCCTGAGATCTCTGCTGCAGCATCTGGAACAGCTGCTTTAAAGAGAGGGATGGGAAATCCAAATCCACTGATCTGGAGAAATTCAAACAAAAACTACTTTAAATCTGCAGCAGCAAGCCAAAGCTCCTTCACACCACGCTTGGCTGATGTGTTTGGTAAGATTTTTCTGCTGCAGAAAGTTCTTATCTGAAGAAATAAACACAATTAAGGGGACTGGGAAGCAGAAGGGATGGTTACCCTGCAAGGTGGCAGCCCATAAATATCACATTAATCCCTTCATAAAGGCACAGCTCTAAACCAGATTTTCCCCTTGTGGGAGACACAAACCCACATCCCTGCCAGGACACACAAAGATCCACCTCCAGAAAAGCCAAAACACGAAGATATTGCAGGAACTACAGACAAAAGTGACCTCAGTGCAAGAAATTCCATGTTTTCTAATCCCCCCAGCAAAGCTCCTCCTGAAACTCTTCCAGCAGAGGATAAAGGAAGGCACTTGTGACAGATGGCTGCTGGTTGCTCAGGCAGGAACCAGACTAAGACAAGGAGCTGGAGAGGGATCAGGATCACAGAAACCTATTTCAGGAACTGCCTCTACCCAGATTTTTTCCTTTTCAATCCTTTCCTTCCCAGACAAGGCACATTTATTGACAAATCCAGCTGTATCCTTATATCATACATGTAGATATCCTTATAGCCATGTCTTTATCAGTAAAAGCTGTGGGTTTTAGGTAACCCCCAAAGTAATTTGGATCTCAGGAACTGCCTCTACCCAGATTTTTTCCTTTTCAATCCTTTCCTTCCTTGACAAGACACAGTTCATGACAAAACAAGCTGTATCCTTATAACACATGAATTTATCAGTGGTTTTATGGTAACCCCAAAGTAATTTGGATCACAGAAACCTATTTCAGGAACTGCCTCTACCCAGATTTTTTCCATTTCAATCCTTTCCTTCCCAGACAAGGCATATTTATTGACAAATCCAGCTGTATCCTTAAAACACATTAATTTATCAGTAAAAGCTGTGGGTTTTTGGTAACCCCCAAAATAATTTGGATCAAATCCTGCTCTGAAAATCCACAGCAGGGAAGGTTTCAGACCAAGGCTACTAAATGGGAACTAAAAAGGTTCCTGCAGACAGTTTTTCACCCAGAAATGTTCATGCAGAGCATTTAAAGGCAGAATATTGCACTGAGATGATGCAGAAACACCACTGAGCACACAGAGTGAAAAATGTCTTATTATCATCCTCCAAACTTCATTATTATATATATATAAAATATAGCTCACAACCCAGCTAAAGCTGGTTCAGTGAAGGTTTCTCCTGCTTGAAGTTTTGATCATGTCATTCCAGAAAAGATAAAGATAAAATATGTCACTGAAGCACAATCCCTGTTCCAAAAATGAAACAGGATAATCCAAATTACACCAGGGAAGCCCCAGTATGAAAACACACCTTGCTGCTCATGGCTGGGGTTTTTTAAGGTGGCACAGGCAATTTATCTGGCAAATCATGGTGGTTTTTGCCCTAAAGTAAAAACATACATTCATTAACAGATTAATAATAATAATAATAATAATAATAATAATAATAATAATAATAATAATAATAATAATAATAAACTGCTACTACTAATACTACTAATAATAATAATTAATAAATAATGCCTTGTGCAAAACATGCAGCTCAGTGATCTAACTTCCAAGTCCCTCCTTGGAGGGCTCCATGCTCACAAAATGGATAATCCAGCCAACTAGAATATCTTGAGCTCAAAAACTTGCCATTAGTCCAGAAAACTGAGATCAACTTGCTAGTATTAACTTGAATTTCACCAGCACCAACTGCTCTGCATGGAAAACTGCACAGGGAAATTTAATGTACCTTTATTTTGCAATCATCAGCCTTTGTTTTTTGCTCAGGTTCCAGAGATGTTTTGTTCTGTCATCACATTTTAAACTAATTATATAGAAGGGCAAAAAAACCCCCATCTTTGTACATACATTTATGGAGAAACAAACCCTCTTAAGGCTCCCCAAAGGGCTGTATGAGATGTTCTATCTCCCTCCCCTATTACCAGCTTTTTATCACAGGTTCTTGGCTCTGTAATTTACCTTCCTCCTCCTGAAAGCAGGTTAAGAGTTTCAGCTGTTAAAATAAAACCTTTCCTCTCAGCTCCTGACTGAGTTTAATTTGTATCA